GACAACTTTCGAAGGCTATGTACGTCTGTTTTTTCTTTTCTAAACTTCGATTTTTCAAATCCGTGTACACATTCTTGTACATTAACACGTCGCGAAATTTTTTTTTTCTCTACAGTCGGTTGGTCTCGCGCAGCAACTGAAGAACTTCAAAGACGAGATTAAGAACTTAACCCGCGCATTAGGCAGTAACGCGGCTAAAAAGATTGTATCGAATGCTGTGTACCTCATCTCGTTAGGCGCGAGCGATTTCATTTCCCCTTTCACGTTAAATGTTACAATTCCCGACGAGCAGCAGTACGTGAACATGATGATTGGGAATTTGTCGACCGTGTTCGATGTAAGTAAAAAGTACAAACAATAACACTAAGGATCTCAATCGTTCATGGCACGGTACACCGAGCTGGACTCGTTAGGCTTGATAAAATAATAGGAATTTTTACATAATTTCCTTACTTTTTGTAGCAAAACTTTGTCTTGTTAATGGGTCGAGCACGAGCTCGAGCTCATTTATCGGCTTATTAATTAACTCCACGAACCGAGCTCGGTTAGGCTCGAGTCTGAACTCACGAACCGAGCTCGGCTAGGCTCGAAGGGCTCGAGTCTGAACTGCTCAGCCTGAATCTGAAAATAGACATATTTCGCGATGAATCTGTAAGAAAGATTGTGTTCTGCAGACAATATACGATCTCGGAGGAAGAAAATTCGCGTGGCTGAATGTGCTGAACTTGGCCTGTGCACCGGGCCTGAAAGCCGTCAATAAAGAAAACGGTTGCCTTAAAAAAGCCTCGGAAATTGTCGGACTATACAATGAGGCTCTCAAAACGCTGCTCTCGGATAAAGAGAAGTCGTTAGATGGCTCGAGAATTGTTCTATTCGACCTTGCAAGCGGTGTAGCCAAAATGACAGCCGAACCAACCATATACGGTAATTAATCCGCTCAAACACAACAAAAAAAGGTTGTTAGATTCCAACAAAAAATCCTAAGGTAATATTCCAATGGAAATTTCAACGGATATTCCGATACTATAGATTACTTTCCAACGAAAATGAATTTTAAACGGAATTTCATGATTCCAATGATCATTTTTCCAACAGTTTTTTACAGTACGAATTTCTGTTAGAATACGCAATTTTCCTTGGAATTTATTGAAAAATAATGTCAACGAAATATTTTTGTTGGAATTTATTGAAAATTTCCCAACTCATTCAAACAGAATATTTTTGTTGGAATTTTCGTTGGAAATTAATGAAAAATTCATACAGAAATAATAGCATAGGAATATCCATAAGAATTACCGTTAAAATTCCATTATGATACATTTTTGTTGAACTTTCTGCTGGAATTTCATCATTTTCTTGTAGTGATATACACGCAAGCGAATTATGTTGTGTACTGTTTTCGTTATGTAAATATAGGTTTCGAAGAGGCGGAAAGCGCGTGCTGTGGGAGTGGAAATTCGAACGGTATATTCAGCTGCGGAAGGATTCCCGAGCACTATAACCTCTGCCCGAACGCGAGTGATCACGTTTTTTTCGACTCATTCCACCCGACTGGGAATGCATATGAACAGATAACTAAGGAAATCTGGAACCAACGTAACGGAGGCGTGAAGAAACTCTTCGACTGCCTCGGCTAGAGCCGAGCTAGCTTCGTATACGGCGCACTGCAATCGAGTGATAAACCCGTGTTGTTGATTTTTTTCTTTTCTTTTCTTTTTTCTTTTTTTTTTTAAAAAAAAAAAATGTTGAGATGCATTAATCCCATTGCCGTGCTGCTCAGAAATAAAATTATCCAGAGTGATGAATAATAGAAGTTGTTATGTTATTAAATATTCCCACAACTGAGTTTATTTGCATTAAAAAATTGACGTGAAATTTGAAGTAAATCAGGTTTCATATTTATATTCTCAATTTGGATCTGGGATGGTTATGTGGCTTCAAAAAATAGAATAATAAATTTAAAAAAATAATATGAAAAATGATAATATTATTATATATTTTCTTTGATAAATTATATCAACTCCCACTAACATGAGATTTGATTTGTTAACTCAAAGGATGAATAAGTACTACGCTTCTGTTACGGAACCATTCCTTCGAGGTTTGTAATCATTAGATCAATTATCCCCGACGGTTACATGATGATCTAACGGTTAAACCCCGACAGCATTCCTGTTACGGAACCATTCCTTCGAGGTTTGTAATCATTAGATCAATTATCCCCAACGGTTACATGATGATCTAACAGTTAAACCCCGACAGCATTCCGTAACGGGACCGTAGCATTTCTCGAATAAATATGCATATGATTTATTACCGCAAGCACATTCATTACTCTTCTAATTATAATATTATCAAAATCAATAATTTAAATTGGCAAAAAATTATTCGTAAGCTAGTAAATCAATTTGATAAAGTAAATTAATTCATATGTATGCATATGATCACATATGAATACCATAAAATAAAAATATATATATATCTTTAGAAAGATCAAATGTTAAGGATGCCCAGATGATTCCTTGTTCAGTATTTCTGTGATGGGTTTCATTAAATTGTCAAAAGTGATCAGAAAAAACACTCAAAAATATTCCCCATCAAATTTAAGTTATACTCTGAATCTTATATACAATACAAGAAAATTATGATAATAACTGAATATATATAACTTACATTCTCAAAATTCAATTTTTCATAGTACCACTCTCAAGCTTAATAAAGAAAATAATAATTCAAATACAGTAATAATTAAAATATGAGAGAATCCGCAATTTTGAACAACCAATATAACATAATAATAAAAATTAATCTTAAAATTTTATGAAATTCCACGTTTTGAAGATCTCCAAACATTCTCTAGAATTCAGTAAAATCTAATGCAATCCATGTAACTCTTTAAACAGAAAAAATATAATTCCATATATAATATAATTTAAAAAAAAAAATCCTTGAAATTCCATAAATAGTTAAATACACATAACAATTGTAAGGTATCTCCAATTATAGAATTTCATGAATCTTTAAACTATTTCATGAATCATGAATCTGTGCATATATATATTGCTCCTTGGTATTAATATTATAGTTGCCAAAAAAAAAAAAAAAAAATCTCATCATATTCTCCAAATGACAAGAATATTACCTTTCTTTCTCATCATCTTCATCACCATTAATGCTGAAGCAAACAGCCTGAAAGTCACCTGCAAGCCTCCGGCCATCTTCATCTATGGCGACTCGTATGTCGATGCTGGTAACAACAACTACATAAACACGAGCACTCTCGACCAGGCGAATTTCCCGCCTTACGGTGAGACCTACTTCAAAAACTCCACCGGGAGATTCTCAGACGGCCGGATCATACCTGATTTTCTAGCTCAGCTTGCAGGATTGAAAGATTTGGTTCCGGTTTATCTTGATAAAACTCGAACAATCGACCAAAATTACAATGGAGCCAACTTTGCATCAGCCGTAGCTGGGGCTTTGCCAACCACTTTACCAGGCTTTGTATGTTCTTCGATTTCCAATTATTCATATATAATTAAAAAATAAAAAGCCACCACAAATTTCACACCGGCTTAGCTCGTCATACTCTTTGGACAAAAGTGCATACTTTTATTTCGATTCTTTTAATGTATGACATTCGAGTACAAAAGTACGCATCTTTGTTGAAAAAGTGCTTAACTTTTTTTTAATAATTTAGATACAGATTAATCTTGACAAGTTTTCAGGCAATTAGTCTCCAAGCACAGCTGCAAAACTACAAAACTGAAGTGGGTGAATTAAACAAAAGATTAGGCCCTAATGAAGCTCGAAAGATTTCATCAACTGCAGTCCACTACATTGCCTTTGGTGCGACAGATTATATCATCCCCATCGAATTGAATTCCACCATTTTCGACCACCGGCAGTATGTGAACATGGTGATCGGAAACTTATCAACCATAGTCGAAGTAAGTGTAAAAATCAATGAATCAATTGGAACATTAAAAGAAAATACTTCGAGTTTTTGGCCTAACTGCCAAAAAGTTCGATTTTTTTTTTCAGAATTACAAATACTAAATATTATGCAGGCAATATATAATCAAGGAGGGAGAAAATTCGTGCTGCAAAATGTGCTAGACCTGGGGTGCTCGCCAGGCCTCAAAATCTATAATGTCGAACGTGACGTTGAGTGCCTGAAAAATGCTTCAGATTTAGTATATCTACACAATGAAGCTCTCGACAAGTTGGTCTCGGAAAAGGCTCGGCTATTGAGTGGTTCCGAGATTTTTCTTTTCGACCTACGAACCACTGTGAGTGAAAGGACAGCTAATCCAGGAAATTACGGTAACTCCACTAGATTTTTTTTTTTTCAACTTTTTCTTACTTTTTTTTTCAATCTAATTCACATGTGTACATGCAGGTTTCAAGGATGGGGGAAGTGCGTGCTGTGGGTCTGGCCGTTTCAATGGCGAGTTCAGCTGTGGAGGGAAAAGGCCGATCAAAGAGTTTAGCTTATGTCCAAAACCGAGTGAATATGTCTTTTGGGACTCTTTCCACCTTACCGAGCATGCCTACGGACAAATAACAAGTCAAATTTGGAACAAACCTGATGGCCGCCTAAAGGGACTCTTCGCGTGCCTCTAGGGTTTTTCTTTTGCTTATCTTTATTTTATATATATTTTTTTTCTATGTTGGGATGCATAAATCTTATGATGTGCTGCATAAGGTGAGACATAAATATATTATCAGAGAAGATCAATGATAGAACTGAACTAATGATTCCCAGGACTATTTTTTTTTTTTTTTTCTGAATTTAGTTGACACCCGTTAAATAAGTCCCCGGTTTCTAGGGATACTAAGGTAAAAATTCTGAAAGAAATACACATGAATTAACAAAAATGTCGTAAATTAGGTCACTGTATACAGAATGCTATTGAAGGCAGAGAAAACTTAAAAAACCAACAAAAATGCAGTTCAAGCAATCACACAATTCGTGTCACAGAAATAAGTAAATAAACATCATTGACGCGATTAGCTCAACATACCAACAAACAAGAGCAATTTTTTTATTCTAACATACAAAATATTCATATTCACTGCATTTTAAGGTCATGATATATTTTACACGCCAACAACTATCATCGTCTTCTTTACCCATCGTTCATATTATTGCTGCTTTAGTTATTAATTCATTACTATATCTTCAACAGCAAATTTAGCAGCAGTGACTGAAATGAATAATAAATTAGGTCCAAATATCCTCATGAGAATTGCACCAGTTATAACAAGTCATAATTCTACAGGAACACGTAATACCAAAAGCTCACACCCTGCCCCAAATAAACAACCAAAGGGAAAAACTAAAGAATAGAGAAAACTGACGACACCTGTAAAACTGAGAACAAAATAATTCTAACATCCAAAACACGAGTTTTGATCCGTATTACAGAGAAAATAAATCCAGAAAGTAATACCTCCAATCCAAAAGAAGGGAACAACAAATATCCAGTCCCACCCTTCACCAGTAATCGTTACAACTACATGTCCCGTCCTTAAAATGATGAAACCTCTTTGCATCCCGAGCGATAATCTCCCGCCCCACAATTTTGGATATAATCTTGAACGCGTTATGGCAGTCCACACAAGAACGCAGGTTCTTGATCACACGTAACGGAGCACGGGCCGGGCTGTTCAATAAACCCTGACCAGCCGCTAGCCTCTCACTATGGGCCATGAGGGCCTCCTCCTTCACCTCCGGGTCCACGTCGTGAAGCACAAATCTGAGTTCTGGCACGTAACCTGCCTCCTTCATCTGCTCCTTCAGACCCTTGAGCAAAGCGTAAACCCTCTCGTGGTCCGGGTGGGACCGGTCCCCAGCCACATACTCGTGGGTCCTGCTCCTGAGTTCCAGGGGATTCTGGCCCTTTTTTAGCTTCCGTTTTTCTTTCTCTCTAGCGATCTCAGAGGGGTCCACCGGTATAAGCCCGGCCCGATGCTGATCGTTAAGACGTGTGGGATCTGCTAGATCGATGAGCTCGACACAACGGTCCCCGAGCTCGGTGTTCCCATGAATTCTGCAGTATTTCAAAAGGGTTTCCCAAATTTCCACACTTGGTTCGAGTTTCAGTGTCTCGATAAAGTCTAGTGCCTCGTCCAAGAAGCCCGCATTCCCAAACATGTCGACTATGCCCACGTAATGCTCCATGGTGGGGGCAATACCGTAATCATCCTTCATCGACTCAAAGTGCAACATGCCTTCGACAGTATCGCCCAACACACCACACGCTTGGAAAACGCCAATGAAAAACTGCCCGTCGGGCTTCAATCCGTAGCTTTTGAAGTCCGAAAAGAGGATGGTAGATTCTTCTCCGTAGCCATTTCTGGCAAGGCCCGAGATCATGACATCCCAGGACGTGAGATTACGTTTGGGCATTTGATTGAACACTGAGAATGCATCGTTTGTGGACCCGCATTTCAAGTATGTGTCCATTATCAAATTGTACGTCCAGATTTCAAGATTCTCCCCCGAGCTCGTGAGGTGCTCGTGCACGGATTTGGCGTCTTCCAGAGCCTCGTTTTCTCCACACGCCTTCATCAGCGCCGTGTAACGAGGCAGGTCGATATGAACGCCCTCGTTTCGTAGCTCGGCCAGAAGCTTTACAGCTTCTTCCACTTTTCCTTCTTTTGTGAAATCATCAAGATCCACCAGCCTACTACCAGGCTGAGCTTGAGGATCGTTATTATGAAACTGCCCAGCTACATTTTGCTGATACATGGACGGATTATAAACATTTTGCCCCAACATATTTCCATTTTCACCTGAATAAACCCCAAAATTACCCTGACCATTATCATAATTCGCATTCACCAGCCCATTTTCCGAAGATTCCAAATTACCAGGCTGCATATCAAAATGTCCGTAATGCCGATTAGGGTTTTGATTATGCTGGCTGCTCTGATTAGTGTTGAAAAGGCCGGAGCTTTCGGCCGTCGAATCACCGTATCGCCCATTCGGGTTTTGCCCATAAACCCGGCTAGGGTTTTGAATTCCCTCGATTCCACCCAAATTTCTACGCGAGCCACTCTGATTGTAACTGCTCTCAAACGCTTGATTTTCGACAAAACCCACGTCCAAATTGATGTAAATATCTGACCTTTCGGTGGCAGTTCCGAGATTTCGAACAAAATCGAGCACGGCGACCGGACATGGAAACTCCGGTGCGTTTGCTCTGCGTAACTTCAAGAGGGGCTGAAGAGATTTGAGAGCAATGAGTGAAGCTCTTCTGCTGTACATCGCTGAGTGGACTCGGTCGACGGTAACTCGGTGAGTCGAGCTTTGGGAGTGGCTGCTAATATGTGGAGAGTGAAGATTTTCGTGGAGGTCAAATGTGTGTTTGTGTGTGTGGTGTGGTATAGGGTGTGCGATTTGGGCCTAGGGGGTTTTGTGACGGGTCGAATCTCGGGCCATATAATTGTAAAATAAAAATAATTATTCTTTATTTTAAAATATATATTTAATGATAAATAGCCAGATGAGTTAATTTCGAGCATACAAATGATATAGGTTATGGTTTATGGCTAAATTGATAACTTTTAAAATAAAAGTTGTTGATATCATTTTCAGTAAGCCAAATTAAGTGATGTTATCCGCTGATTGGGTCGGTATAAGTATAATTAAGACTCGTGCAAACACGTGACGCTTCCACCGACTTCAAGACGGCTGCACGATGAAAGATTCAACAAGAACCGACATCTCCATTATTTAACCGATAACACATGTCGGTCAACACACGTCGGTCAACACACGTCGGTCAACATATGTCAGTTACAACATATCGGTTATAACTGGATGAACCGATATCTATAACATGCCACCTCAGCATGGTAAGGCGGCGACAACTCAGCATAAATCATCATTACGTTTGTCCAAGTGGCGAGTTATCAAGAAAAGCAGCTAAGAGCCGCCTTTGACCTTTCAAAATGTAATGATTACTGTACGGATAAATATTGTACTCAAATATAAAAGGAGAAAAAATAAATCTCCAAAGGACAGACAATAACAATAAGACTTTACTATAAACATTCCATCTCTTTTTACAAAATACCAGTTCTTATCGCTGAATATTTGATTGTACTCTAAATTTACTACAATCGAACCGTTGTTAATTCCCGTTTGACAACAGTTTGGCGCTAGAGGAAGGGGGCTTGCTTGTGTTTTGACGTTAATCTTCGCCTGTAAGCCATTTTCGCACTCGGGAGTTACTATGTCGCAGTCTGGTCGAGATCATGTACCTCACCCTGGCCAGAGTCAATCGACTAACCATTCTCCACGGCGTACAACACCGCCACCTCCGGTCACGAATGTCACGAACTTTCTTCAAAATCCGGAGTTTATTCAAGGTTTGTCTTCATTGATAGCTCGAGCCATGCCTATAAACTCGAGTACGATGTCGTTGTCGATGTCGTTAACTACTAACCCAACAGAGCATCCAACTCATACTCGTCATGACCATGAAACACATGTAGCGACGTCACATGCCACGTCGCAGCCTCATCATACTTCTCCACGTCAAGAAGAACAGGCTCATGTAATTGCTAATCCCATAACGAACAATCAAGTCCCAGATCAACCCCCTGTGCAGGAGATGACTGCTGAAAGTCATTCTGCTCATCACCAGAGAGTTTCCCCACGTCCTAGACCCATCTCCTCAGCACCTCACGCTCGCGAAGATTTACGACGCCAAATTGAACGCAATCGTCTTTCAAGGCATAGTGCGGAGGAAATTGAAACTCTCCGTAAACGTTTGGCTGAACTTGAAATGCGACAGAAGTCACAAGAAGATTCACCACGACATGTCGCGACGTCGGGAAATGTTGTTGTCGAGGCGGATTCTCCTTTAGCCCCCGAACTTACTGCGGAGCCGCTCCCTGTGAAAGTAAAAATCCCGCAAATCGGCATGTATGATGGGACGTCGGATCCAGATGCACATTTAGGCCATTACACGTCTTGGATGGATTTACATGGGGCTTCAGATGCTTTGAGGTGTCGGATGTTCTCACTTACACTGGGGCCACGAGCCCAAAAATGGTATTATACTCTCCCACCTCATTCAATTTGGAAATGGCAGCAGTTACGTGCGGCTTTCCGGTCACACTTTATTGGTGCTCAAATTTGTCTCATTCCGAAAGAGTCGATTACCAACATCGTACAAAAGGACGACGAGACTGTTAAAGATTACGTGGCTCGGTTCAACGACCGAATTCAGAACATGGAACCCTGCCATCCTGAAACTTTGTTAGTAACTGCTATTGCCGGACTGAAACCCAATTCAATGTTTCGTTGGACTTTATGTCAAAATAAGCCTGCAACATTTCAAGAGTTCCTTGTACAAGCTCAACAATTCATTATTGCCGAAGAATCCATGTCGGTCCCCAGTTTCGACTTCTCGGTAAAAGAAAGCAAGGTTGAACCAGATGCCAAAAAGAAAAACAAGAAGAACTTTGGGAAAGCACAATTTCGGAACTCCTCTAAAGGATACGAAAATACTCCAGAGTCTCGGGCGGCTCGTGATCAATATTCGGACAATGTCAGGACAGGTTATCATGCCGTTTATTCCGCTGGAGCGGCCACCATATATGAGGAACTGAAAGGAAAGGGAATTATCCCATACCCGAGGCCTGTGAGAACTCCTGAAGACAAGTTGGATAAAACTAGGTACTGCGCATATCATAAATCTCTGGGACATAATACCGACGAATGTCTTGGTCTTTTGTCGGCACTCTTACGTTTAATCGGACAACCCCAGCTTCAAAAGTTTCGAAATTTTGATAACCGCCGGAAAGGAAGGCCCTTAGATCTTTCAGACGACGAAGATGAGGACAACCGACCTGCTAACCAGAAAAGAGCTCGTGCAAACGATAAGGAAGTTTTTACGTTTTCTACACATGTCGGTACTTCGACCGACAACCACAGGAAACCTATGATACGTGATCCCGCAGATTTTTCACGTTGCATACCTCGAGTTAATTCCAATAATAAACAATTAGATACGTCTCGACGGAAAGTCAAAGCTTATGCTCGGGAAGCTCAGAATGCCGAGAAACGAGTCATGAATGTTGATCTCCGAGATACCATCAACAAACGGAATTGCCCTATTACGTTCAGTATTGAAGACGCTAACTTGTTCGCTCATCCTCATTCTGATGCTCTTATTATAACCGCCCCGATTGGAGGTATTCCTGTTCATCGGATCTTGGTCGACACAGGAGCGTATTCAAGTATCCTAATGCTCCGTACTTTCACGAAATTGGGTTTGGACCCAGCAGACATTAGACCATGTAACGATCAGATTCAAGGTTTCAATGGAAGCATTTCTTGCCCTGTTGGCGAAATATTGCTCCCCATCCGATTTGGAGGCTTTGGACCTAAGTCCAAGATCATTATGGAAACTTTCAAAGTCTTGGATGTCCAAAATGAGTATAATGCTGTAATAGGGCAAACCGCACTTTATAAACTCCGTGCTGCTGTGTCAATTTTTCATTATGCCTTGAAGTTCCCCACCATTGAAGGAGAAGGCACTCATTACGGGGATCAACGAGAAGCCCGAAGTTTGATGCTGCTTTCAACCTCGCCTAACTTTCATATTGATATAGCCATACTATCGTGCCACGGTTCAGTAACCGCGGCATGGTCACAATCGGCTCATAGCGGTTCATATCATCGTGGTTCGGAACTGACAAAGTCGACTATAACACAGTCGACTCCGCCGGTAGGGTTTCATGATATCCAATCAAGAAGCCCGGCTCTCGACCGAGTCGACATGTATCCGTCGACTGGAACGAGTCGACATATGCCCCGACAGCGATCAGACGAATCAGGGACCATTAGTGATGGAATG